TACGCCAAGAGCACTAAAATTTTATGGGTGAAATGGCGCCAAGGGGTGACTTCTCTTCCACCCCAATGCCTTCTCTTCTCCCTTCTCCTCCACCCCCATTCTAATTCCCATCATCATCATCATCCAGGAGCCTTCTACATACACACCTCAAAGTAAGTGTACTTTTCTACCCTTTTTGTTGAATTTAGGCAATTTTCGGTGAGCTGGAACCAATTACCCAAAAACCCAATGAAACAATGGTTTCGGTTAACGAGTTTTTCGGTTAACGAGCAACCTTCTAGAACGGATTGTGCTTGTTAACCGAGGGACCACTGTACTGTATTATGGTAACACCCTAGCGGGATCTGAGGAAGCACCCCGAAAGCAAACACATTAATATTTCTACAATGAACCCTATGAATATGAATTAAAAAGTACTGTACAAACAAGGTACTGTACTGTATACTGGTACAGGTACACCACCAATTTTCCGGCACCCATGGCTCCAAGGCCTTGCCGGATTATCCGTTTTGCCGGACCAACAGAGGTCAGGTAATAATAATTCAACAATACATCTCTAACCCACTAATTATACACCTTCCATGTCTCTAAAGCACCATGAACTGCTAGAAACTTAAATTAAACTATGTGATGTTTATACTCAAATTAATCACTATATTACAAGGATTCCAGCAATGTAATTTATATTCTGCTAAGTTTAGTCAGCTACAATTTATAAGATAAAAACTTTAAGACTTAAACTGCCTTCACCCCTGGCTGGGAGGGAGGGGAGGGAAGGGGGTTGAAGAGTTGACAGCTATCAGGGAGGGGAAATAACAAAGTGCATAGCTATCAAAACCGAAGGAGTTTTAGTTTTTCGCGAATAAAATGTCACTCAATTGATTTGGGATAATATTATTAACATTGCTGTAATTCTTGTAAGACAGTGATTAATTTGAATATAAACATGCTTTAGTTTGCACTAGACATAAAAATTTAGTACATTTGAGTACAGTACAGGTTTACCCTTAGGACAATTATTTCTTTTACTTTTTTCACAATATATATTTAGGATGGTGTGTGCATGCAAATGAGTAAAAGTTACATATATCTTCCCAAAAATATGAGTTAAAAAACTTTTACACAAATGTACTACACTAGACTAAAATTTATATCTCTTGTGCAAACTACGTGATGTTTAAACTCAAATTAATCACTATCTTACAAGGATTCCAGCAATGCCATTTATATTCTGCTAAGTCTAGTCAGCTACATTTTATAAGATAAAAACTTTAAGCCTGAAACTGCCTTCACCCCTGGCTGGGAGGGAGGGAGGGAGGGAAGTTAAGTGCCCCCTCATAATTTTGTCCGGACTAAAGGAGGTGCCGGATCATCAGTTCCCGGAAAATTGGTGATGTACCTGTAATGGAATTAACAAAACATTAAATATAAACAAAATACAGTACTGTACTGTACAGTATACTGTACAATAATAAATAAAAAACAATAAAATATATTAGCACTTTGAGGTGTGTACTGTCTACATTCAAATTTTTCGCTGTCTTGCAAGGATTCCAGCATTGCAAATTATATTCTCCTAACTTTAGTCTGTGATATTATATAAGATAAATTTTTTAAATCTAAAACTACCTTCACCCCTGGGAAGGGGGAGGTGATGTGTTGACAGCCAGGCAGGGGGGAGGAGTGAGGGTGAGATTCTCACCCCTGAGGGGGAGGGGGGAGATTACCCACTGTATCATAATCTGTCATATAGAGGGAGTTTAAGTTTTTGCTTATAAAATGTCACTGAATTGACTTGGGAGAATATAATTTACATTGCTGTAATTCTTGTAAGATAGTGATTAATTTGAATATAAACATGCTTTAGTTTGCGCTAGACATAAAAGTTTTAGTAATTATTTAGTACATTTGAGTAAAGTACAGGTTTGACCTTAGGACAATTATTTCTTTTACTTTTTTCACAATACAGTGGTCCCTCGGCTAATGAGCACCTCGGTTAACGAGATTTCGGTTAACGAGTTAACTTCCACAAGATTCTTAACTTCGGTTAACGAGGAATTCCTCGATTAACCAGTTTCTTACGAGCCGACCTGAACATGTTTTCACTTGCATTTGGCGGTCCACCAGCTGTAGTATTAGTCCGCCAATACAGTAATCGGTTCTAGGGCTTAAATTCCTTACCATTTTAGCAAATATCAAGCAGTTTATACTATTCAATAATTTTTAAAGTTTAATATTAAATTTTTTAGTCATTTTAACAATTATTGAACATAATTGAAGGTAATGAAACTAGTTTTATGCGCGCCATCCAGCCTCTCAACACACCATACAGGCGTCAGTCTTTGTGTCTTTTCAGTGGAGGTAACATCTTGCTTGAGACTCTCTTCAACTGAATGCTTTTTTTCTGTGTTTGCAAGCAAATTATTGGCCATTTTGAAATTTATTTTACACATTGACAATATATAATGCAGTGCAGTGTTGATTTAAAGAAAATAATCTTGAATTACGCCAAGAGAACTAAAATTTTATGGGTGAAATGGCGCCATGGGGTGGCTTCTCTTCCACCCCAATGCCTTCTCTTCTTCCTTCTCCTTCACCCCCATTCTAATTCCCATCATCATCATCATCATCATCATCCAGGAGCCTTCTACATACACACCTCAAAGTAAGTGTACTTTTCTACCTTTTTTGTTGAATATAGGCAATTTTCGGTGAGCTGGAACCAATTACCCAAAAACCCATTGAAACAATGGTTTCGGTTAACGAGTTTTTCGGTTAACGAGCAACCTTCTAGAACGGATTGTGCTCGTTAACCGAGGGACCACTGTATATATTTAGGATGGTGTGTGCATGTAAATGAGTAAAAATAACTGAAGAAAGTTATGTATATCTACCCAAAAATATGAGCTGATTAACTTGTACAGTAAGATCTTGTATTTCGCGAGTAATATAGACTGGAAAAATTGCGCCAAATTCAAATTCACCAAATGCAAATACGTAAACTAATGGGAAAAATAACAATATAGTCTGGCCACTCTACATCAATCTCTGATTTTCACATGTATAACCTGTTCGTGTTCTGGGTGTTAAGTTCTATATACAGGAGCGAACACAAACACCTGTATAGTTTTTGTAGGTTCTATTTACTGGATAACAGATATGTACACAAGGGAAGTAGCGCTCCTTACTCTGTCCGGGGGTCAACTGCTCTCTAGGCGATGTATGGTAAGTGATACATAAACAGCTTCCATATGTCGCCAGGCACATTAATTAAGCATGTGGGACATGGTAATTACATTGCCACACGCTGCTAGCTAGGCTGAATAAATAATGTATATAAATGGAGCACATACATAATATATAATACAGCATACATAATATACATACATAACCTCGAAATGATACAAATTCTGCCTTTATTGACCTGATTGTGCTTTCCGGAAGCTAGTTTTTAGGCCTTCCTCAAGTAATTTAATCACACGCTGCTTATCCTGCATCGAGTACTTGGCAAACTTAACTCCCTTATGATAGTCCCGCTTCTCCTTTTCCTTATTTGGCCACTTAGGTGTGTGTGACCCACCAGCACCAGTAGGACCCCCAGTGGAGGTAGAGGCACCACCCAAAAAAGCACACAATAACAGCCCGGGCGGATGCTTGGATGGCGCGGGAAACAATGCGATAGTTACGTTCTTGTAAACCTCTTTTACGTTCACCACCGGCAGTTCGATCACCAGAACGCTTCTTGGAAACATTTTTCTTACCTTCTCTTTCCATATTCATCGCTAAAACAACAAAATTGGAGAAAATTGCAAAAATCACGGAGTAATTGACAGAAACCGCATGATTCAACCGATCACGCAATGTAAACCGTTATTAGTCCTCACTGTTAAACCTTCTTTTTACTTTTTCTTTTCATACAGTACAGTATACTGTATACGGGTAGCAGCAAAATTTGCAAAAAAAAATAAAAAAAAATAAAAAGTTACAGAGTACTGTACCTCTCAAAAACCACTTCACAAATAAAAGACATGAAACAATTGAACATGTGGTGTTGAACGTGAACTGTAAACATTGCATAAAACCCGCACCACGCTTAAAACGTTGAGGATGGAATAAAAACATTGAGGATGGAATCACGCTATAGCAAACATTCGTATGCAAAAGTTCCCGTTTTACAAACAGCGTTCCCCTATTCATCAATAGCGTTGCAACCAATTCGGGTTGACAAAACACACATTGTAGCAGAAATGACTAACTGGTATGAGGGCTGTGACGTCATTCAAGATGGTGGCCAGCATTCCGCTTGCTGGATCTCGCGAAATTCACGATATTTTATGCCAAATATAAGACTTGGTTACATTAGGTAGTGTTCACGAAATTCAAAAACGCGAAATGAAATCTCGCAAAATATTAGATCTGACTGTACTTAAATGTACTACACTAAAGGCCTAAAATTTTTATCTCTAGTGCAAAATCTATGATGTCTACAGTATATTCAAATTATATGCTGTCTTGTAAGGATTCCAGCAATGTAAGTTATATTGTGCTGAGACACAATGCATCTATATGGCAATAAAAATCAATCGATGGACCGAGAGAGCAGAAGTGATGCTATCACGGGCGACGCTAATTTGTGACTGAGAACGTGATGTGTTTCCCTATGTTTAAGAGTGCGTGACGTGGGTGGATCACGAGGTCTGTCCGCCTTGCTCCCTTTAGCTTATGGTGGACATGTCATCTTACAACAAATTATGTCCTAATTTTTTTTCCCAATAAATTTGTCTGGCTTAAGCGGGGTCCGCTTTAGCGAGGTTTATTGTACTAGCATAAAATCTAAAACAAAACAATGTTCTTTTGTTTAAAAAAAAAAGGGGGTTTGCAACCCTGAGAGGAACCCAGGGATTAAGCCAGCAAGTTTGTCGACACAGTGCCTAGACATTTACGGATACAGTATAACACAATAAAACCAAGCATAGAGGTATTACAAAAAATCTTTATACCTTAGGTGTGCGGAAAGACTGTCGAGGTGATAGCAGTAGCTGACTATTGATTCGTTGGAACTCATACACTTGGGATTGGACACTGTTTCCTGATGTTTCATCATCCACATTTTCCATTAATGGCGAACTCTTCTTTGATACTGGGGATTCTGAAAGCATATATATTTACAATAAGTGGATCTCTACAAAAGTAATACAGGTAGTTTATAAATTTTTAAGTGAACTACTGTATGTAGCCGGGAAACCAATCGTGATAAGCTAGTGTGCTCAGCGATCGTATTCTCGGCAATTTCATGTGTGATTTTAGCATTACACAATACACATATCTATTTTTATGAAAAAAATGTATTGAAAAACTTAAATATAAATTTAAGTTATCAGTATTTTAAATGTGAGCGAACAAGTTTCCTGTCTTTCGTTTATTTTTAAATCAACTCGCAAAAAATTTAATTATTGAATTCAAATGAAGGTTATGTAATACTGAAAACCTCTGACCTCACTCTTGACCTACCTCTTCTACCATCCCTGACCTGGCTGGTAAGAGCTGTGACCACAGGGCCAGATTATTAGGTCCCACCTATAACCTCACTCTTAACCTCTTCTACCAGTAAGGCATCTCTTTTTAATTCACTCATAAAATTCTTGAACTGTACTTGTCAAACCTATTTCCTCACGTTACCCCATGTTCCTCAGAAACCATCACACCTTGGCTTATTAATTGATTTATTGATTGTGATAATTACATCCCTGGCGACGCAACAGCTTAGGCCATATGTCACCAAATTAAAAAAAAGGCTAAGAAGACTAAAATCAAATAATGTGAGGTAAAAAACTTAAGTAACAAATTACATAAAACTTTGGTAAAAAAAAAAACCACATTTAAATGTAAATAGATAAAACTCAAAACTTGTGTAGGCGGCGGCTTCCTCCACGAAGGATAGGATGTCCCCTCCCACAATACCCCCCCAGCATTGGGAGAGTTGCTTACTACAAAGAACTCTGGCACAGGAATATTTTCGCCCCCCGGGCCCTGATGTGGGTGTGACCTGTGTCCGGGTGGGCTAATACCCATAAAAAAATAAAAAAAAGTCAATGGGACCATGAGTCAGTGGTGTGTAGTCAATATGATGGCACTCCAAAGAAGTCTTCCAGCAGAGCGACAGTCCCTTATACAGGTATCCCCAGGCACCCAATGTAGGGTGGATGTAGCGGAGTTAGTTTGCTCCAACAGCATCCCACCTGCATTGCTAGGGTGGATGTAGCGGAGTTAGTTTGCTCCAACAGCATCCCACCTGCATTGCTATCTCAATCAGAGGCAGGTAGAGGGGAATGATGTGCCACAGAGTAAGAAGCAGGTGCTTTTGCCACAGCACTAGCATGCTCATTCCCCTTCTTCCCCACATGGGCAGAGACCCAGCAAAAATTGACTTTCTGCCCAGACGTTGGATGAGAAACAGCCACTGTAAAATATCATATAACTGAGGGATGTGGTGATGAGACACTAGCTAAGGTACTACAAGAATTACTAAACATTTTAAAATCACTATGAGGTTAGGTAAAAAAATAATCTGAAGAGCAAGTAAAATACCCAAAAGCTCTGCCATAAAAATAGATGACATAGTGGGGAGACTACCATCCCGACAGTATTTGGGAAAGACTGCCCGAAAACCCAGCCCTGCATCCGGCTGTCGGTGTAAACAGGAATAGTACCTATATGAAAGGAGGTATGCTCTAAAAAAAAGAGAATGAACCATTCAGAGAAGGAGTAAGTCTTTCCTTTCATCAAAATATAATGACAAACTTGAACTTCAAGGAGAATCCACGGAGTGGCACTAGAGAACCACATGGTGCATATCTAACAAGGAGGAAGACAAGGAATACTCACAACCTCCCTCATCCTGAAGTCAAAAGGTCATGGGAGGCTTGGATACTGGGTGCAGTGTGGGGACATAATCTCGTCAACTACACAAGTGTTCCAGTGTTAGTTACAGACTGCAGAAGGCAGTATAGGCGAAACCAACACTGAACCTGGAGATACTGACATCGAGGATCAAGGGGTGGCTCAATAGCATTAACTATTGACTTGGGATTGGTGAAGACTTAAAGGCACTGGTAACCAGGCACACCCCAGCATGATGAATAGAGTTCAGTATTTGAGTCTAGCTTTAGTGGCTGAGGAGTGCACCTCACACTCATAATCAAATTTGAGTACAGGTTGTACCTCTCTAGTTCAGCATTCTGTGGTCCGGAAACTCCCGTGGTCCGGAACGATTTTAGTTTGTCCAACAGGTAGATAGGCAGCTTTTTTTTTTTTTTTTTTTAATCTGAATTATTATTATTATTATTATTACAGGAGTATTAAATTTTTGCCCCTCAGGCCCCAATGTGGGTCAGTGACCTATGCCCGGGTGGGCTAATCCCCTTAAAAAAACAACAACAAAGCCGCGGGAAATTAAGGTTTGTTTACATCCGGCAGTTCGGCTGCTCTCTCTCTCTCTCTCTCTCTCTCTCTGCTTGTCTATACAGAGTACAACATTTAACCCTTCAATATATATGAGCAGTAAATAAGTGTTGCTTTCATATTCTTATGTAGAGTAATGACGATATGTTTTCACATGTGCGCACTTATACGCGCAGTCTCACTTTTTTTTTTTACCATTAATGGTTAGCTACTTATATTGTTCCATTTATTAACATTAAATAACATTACAGGTACTTCAAACAACCATATTAATTTTTTTACATTAATTTTACTACAGCTAAAATCAGGGTCTTATTTTCTTCAGTTTTATATGTAGAACCAATCAGTCACTGGTTTTGTAAGCTTTAACATAAACAATGCCGGCAGCCGTCTCGTCTCCTCTAATATTCCACGTATTATTAATAAATTGTATTGTTAATTTTGCACACACAAACATTAATTCAATAAAAACAAATTCAGAAACATTAATTAAAATATATATGAACAGTAAATAAGTGTTGCTTTCATATTCTTATGTAAAGTAATGACGATATGTTTTCACGTGTGCGCATGCGCACTTACATACGCGATCACTCTTTTTTCTTTACCATTATCGTTAGCTACTTCTATTGTTCCATTTATTAACATTAAATGACATTAGCTAATACAACCATATTAATTTTATTACAGCTACAACCAAGGTCTTATTTTCTTCAGTTTTATATGTAGAACCAGTCAGTCACTGGTTTTGTAATCAACATAAACAGTGCTGTGTCATTTCCTCGTGTGTTTTAATATTCTACGTATTATTAATGAATTGTATTGCTCATTTTGCACACAAACATTAATTCAATAAAAAAGACATTCAGTAATAAACAATAATGAATCTTTTGTACATAAGAGAAATGACGCTGTTTACACGATTATGCACGTCGTCTGTACGTTGGCGGGCCGTTCAAACCCGTCGAAATTCAAGTTTCCGCCGTCAAAATTTTTATTTATTTCTTTTTTTGTGTGTTCCAATAAAATACGTTAAGAATTAAAAACTCGCGAAATTTGAGAAGCTACTATACGACATTTAACCCTTCAATATGTCTTCAAAGAGACCATGATGCAGAGAAAGTGGTGTTAGTGCTTCCAAGCATAAGCACAAGTCACTATCTATCCAGGAAAAGGGTGAATTTCCATGGTCCGACACCGGTCAGGTCCCGAGGTTGCCGGACTAGAGAGGTACAACCTGTATAACTAGCATGTGGTAAAGATGTAGCAGAGTTCCTCGATCAGTGATGTGTTCCCCAAGACACTCAATAACTTGAGGGCATGCTGGCAAGACTTTTTAAGGGAATGAATATGTGGATGCCATATAATCCGGTTGCAAAGATGATGCCCAGGAAATGGGTCTGTGACACATCACACACGTTGACCATAAAGCTGTAGATGGGTTCTGGGTGAACACCTCGAAGGCGGTTGTAATGCGTGGCAAGGGTCATCAAGGGAGAAAATCTGAAACCATGCTCTGTGGTTCAACATAAAACCTTGTCTAGTGCAAGTTCCTCCTCATGAGACATCACAAGCTCTTCAACATCATCCTCCTCCACTTCAAGGCCCAATGACTGACCAATGGACACAATCTCCTGGTCCAACTCTGTGTCATCCTGAAATCCCTCAAAATCATGGACTACTGATGGCCACAGTGCTTTCCATGAAGAATTGAGGGATCTAGTGGAGACTTCTAGCCATGATGACACAATCAATTTTACAGCCTCCAGGATGTTGAATTGTGTCTTCTAGAACTGTTTCAGTGTTAATTCAGGATGATTGGAAGTCGCCTGATGACACCTCCTAAATATTTTCTTCATGTACAACTTCTTGAAGTTGTTGATCACATTCTGGTCCATTGGCTGTATGACTGATGTAGTGTTGGGAGGCAAAAACAACACTTTCACAAAGTCAAATTGATACTCCAAAGTGCTGGCAAGTTCAGGGTCATGACCAAGAGCATTATCCATGAGGAGAAGAGCCTTCAAAGGGAGTTTATTGGTGGTTAGGTAGCTCTTGACAGAAGGGCAAAACACATCAACAGCCCATTCATTAAAGAGCTGTCTTGTCACCCATGCCTTACAGTTGGACTTCCAATAAACTCCAAGCTTTGCTCTTACCATTTTCTGTTGCTTGAACACCCTGGGGTTCTCAGAGTGGTAGACAAGCATAGGCTTCAGCCGGAAATCCCCTGAAGCATTGGCACCAAGCAATAGAGTGAGACGGTCTTTCAGGGGTTTATGCCCAAGTAAAGAGGCTTCATCTCTAGAGATGAATGTTCTTTTGGGCATCTTTTTCCAGAACAGCCCAGTTTCGTCCACATTGAACACTTGCTGTGGAAGATAATTTTCTTCTTCCATCAGTTCTTTAAATTCCACTAAAAACTTTGCTGTCCCTTCCTTATCAGCACTAGCAGCTTCACCATGCCTAACAACACTGACAATGTCACTTCTTTTCTTAAATTTTTCGAACCAGCCTTTGCTGGCCCGAAAATCTTCAAATTCTGTGCCTGAAGAACCAGGTTGATTTGTCTTTAAATGTTCGTAAATCTCCCTGGCTCTTTCACAAATGAATTCAGTAGAAACTGACTCACCATTCATCTGTTTTTCCCTAATCCAGATGAGAAGTAACCTCTCAGTTTCTGCAATTAGGGATCTACTTTTAAACACTCTGGTAGATTTCTCTCTCACTTTCACTTCTTTAAATTTGTCTTTCTGTGCAAGAATTGTCGACACAGTTGATGTCGACATGCCATATTCTTTGCATAGGCATTTGTTCTAATGCCTTCTTCATGTTTCTTATAATTTCCTGCTTGGTTTGGATTGAAATCGCTTTTCTTGATCTCTTAGGCCCCATGCTGGATTCAAACAATGTCAACACGTGTTTTTTAAAGTTAAACTAGCTGTAAATAAAGAATATTTTCTTTAAAATAACACTGCACTGTGCTATATATTGTCAATATGTAAAATAAATTTCAAAATGACCAATAATTTGCCTGGAAACACAGAAAAAAACGTTTAGTTGAAGAGTCTCAAGCAAGATGTTACCTCCAGTGAAAACAGAGAGAGACTAACGTTTGTTTGTGTGTTAAAAGGCTGGATGTCGCGCATAAAACTAGTGAATTTACCTTCAATTATGTTCAATAATTGTTAAAATGACTAAAAAATTTAATATTAAACTTTTAAAATTATTGAATAGTATAAACTTCTTGATATTTACTAAAATAGTAAGGAATTTAAGCCCTAGAACCAATTACTGTATTGGCGGACTAATACTACAGCTGGTTGACCGCCAAGTGCAAGCGAAAACATGTTGAGGTCGGCTCATAAGAAACTCGTTAACCGAGGTATTACTCGTTAACCGAAGTTAAGAATCTTATGGGAGGTAACTCGTTAACCGAAATCTCGTTAACAGAGGGATCACTGTACATACAAAGTAAAGCCCAAAAAATGCATAAAGTCAGAAACACTCCTAAAAATCCCCGAAATCGCCCTTAAATCACTGCAGGTTGTACCTCTCTAGTCCGGCAGCCTCGGGACCAGACCGGTGCCGGACCATGGAAATTTCCGAACAGCATGGCATTAACGAATCTACGATCCGAACCATCAGGAAGGATGCCGACAAGATTAAAGAACACATGAGCATCACAAAGTCTGCAGGTGCCTCGTTGGTCAAGTATTGCCACAATAAGGTGCTGCTCAAGACTGAAGGTTTAATGGTCAGGTACTTGATTCGTCATGCAAGAAGGAACATGGCGGTCGACACGCGGGCAGTGCAGGACTAAGCACGAGAACTGTACGTATCAGTGGCGAGAAAGATGGGAATTGCAGAGCCCAAACCCTTCACTGCTTCCGCTGGGTGGCTGCAAGGGTTTAAACGTCGTAACAAGATCACGAACGTTGAAATTGTTGGTGAAGGAGCTAGTGCTGACCGTGCTGCGGCGATGGATTTTCCTCCATTCTTACGAGAAATTATGGAGGAAGGACAGTACACCAACGACCAGGTGTTCAACATGGATGAATCCGGGCTGTTTTGGAAGAAATTACCTTCCAAGACATTCGTAGTCGAGTCTGCCAACAAGTTGCAGAAGGAGCGCATCACCGTCCTGTTCACCACCAATGCCTCCGGCACCTGTAAGCTCAAGTTGTCTGTGATCCACACAGCCCGCAAGCTGCACTCCTACAAGAACATGGACATGAGCAAGTTAAATTTCCACCGGCTAATCTCAAGGAAGGCGTGGATGTTCACTGGTCTGTCCCTCTCCTGGTTTGACGACTGTTTTGTTCCTGACGTGAAGAAATTCAGCGAGCAACATAAATATCCATTTAACATTTTGTTGCTCCTTGAAAACGCACCAGGACACTCGCCCCTACTGTTGGATCGTCACCCCAGTGTAAAAGTGGTCTTCCTTCCCCCAAACACTACGTTGTTAATCCAGCCCATTGATCAGGAGTTGATATGTAACGTCAAGGCTGCTTTTTCCGCAAAGAAGTTTCGGCTCCTGAACGACTTCACCAACACCAAGGATGAATTGCAGAACTTTCTGAGTGGCACCGATAGCGAGAGCGGCGACGAGGATCCAGAACAAGAGTTGGCAGAGCATGAAGTGCGAGTCAAACAGTTTTGGAAGATGTTCAACGTCAAGAAAGCTGCTGATTTCTTGGTGGAGCCATGGGGGCAGCTGTCTGTGGCATTGATTCGTCACGCGTGGCGGCATGTGCTGGAGGGTATCCCAGGTGGGAGGCAGAGTCAAGCAGTGGCTGGAGAGGCTCAGTCTGTTGCTGTAGCATTGAACATGGCAAGAGAGGCTGCACAGAGTGTTAGAGCTGTAGGCTTCTCCGAGACCACCAACGACGACATCCTGGAGGTAATCAAGGATCCTGAGGTGACTGCCGACGAGATGTTGGAAGACGATGACGTCAGTGAGGAGGCAGCACGAGAACAGAAGTTAACACATGGTGATGTAAAGGATGCCATCAAGTTTGCCGAGAAAATCAAGCTCATCCTTTCCAAAGACCCTGTCAATCACCGATACAAAGTCTCCAATAACCATCTGTTGCAATCTATGGAGCCGTACATCCAGATGTATCACGATCACATCAATGCAAGCCGTCAACGTAACATTACCGAGTTCTTCGCCCGCAACCCACCACAACCACAGCCAGCCCAAGTCAGTGATAGTGACAGTGGTGATGTTGATTTTGAGGGGTTTGTCAGGGAAGCCCTGCTAACCTCTGTAGTGGATAGTGATACAAGTGATTCACCTGAGGGCCACAAATCTGCCCTCTGCCTCGGAACCAGCCGCCAACACCGTGTGCCCAGCCGTCTCTTCTACTAACGTAAGTGTTAAAAACCTTGATATTTCTCTTTTACCGTACAGTATATTATTCTCTTATTGATATTTCTCCTCTCTATTATGTGTGTGTCCATACCATCATAAAATTAAGATGTTATTTTTACTACAACGTACGTATTGTGTCGGAAAAAGTGTAGTCTGGGGGTCGGCCCAGTCTCTATTTCAATTAATCCCATATGTTCTGTTATTTCGTTTACGCATTCCTCGTTTTACACGGACCTCCACGGGTTTAATTGACCGCGTAAACCGAGACTATACTATATTTATTTACCTCTACTGTATAACAAAACTCAAGTATATTTACACAGATTATTAAAAAGTACAAATATAATCATTTACAATATTTCAAAAGATGGTGAGCACAGCACTCATATGTTCCAGAAACAACACATACCTGTGGCATCAGTGCCTTTTGTAGAGCGCTTACGTCGCAGAGACATTCTTCGCTCCTGGGTGCCAATCATGGTGTTCAGGTACACCTGTTGGTTGAAGAAAAAAAAAGTTCTTGTCAAGGTTTTATACTAGTACAATAGAAAGTCCTCAATTTATGGAAGGGTTATGTTCCTAAAAAGTTTGCCATATACTGTACTGGATTCCATAAAATATACTATTTTCCCATTGATTCCCATTGTATAATGGTACATGCTTTCTTAAGGAAAATTTTTGTTACCCAAATTTTCATAATATAAATAATTTTTTAACTTTTTTAAACACATTTATATAAAAATCCATATTTTCATATATTTTTATATATCATGTAGGAATGGAGGCAATAAACTGCATAAATTGTTATACAGCATCATAAAATCTGTGAAATCCTGGCGCATCAACTGGCTTGAGCGGTGCTCCGACTTGTTCCCCCATGCCAGACTGTAGATGCCATTTGCAATACAATATTGTTAAACAAAAGAGAAAATCTGGTATTTACTAATACAGCCTGCCCTTCAAATTCGCAGGGGTTGGGTTCTCAAAATGGCCGCGAAACGCCAAATCCGCAAATAACATTTGCTGACCGGGGGGTTGCATTTTTACTTGTGTGCAAAGAAATGTGTATTCCCTTTATGTGTTTGCCCTTGGGACAATAATTTCTTTTACCTGTACTGTATATTGTATATATTGTGTGTGCAGACACACACAAAACACATACGAATAAATAATAATGGGAAAATCCTCTCACAAATAACCAGAAACAAATTTATTAAAAATACTGAGTCTACCCTCAAGTCCACTCCGTGCTCTATTAATAACAAAGTACGGAATGGAGTTGAGGGTATACTCAACATTTTAAATAATTTTTTCCTGAATATTTGTGAGAGGATTTTCCCAATAATATTTATTCGTATGTGTTTTGAGTGTACTGTCCACAAACATACAATACAATACAGGTAAAGGAAATTACTGTCGCTGGAATGAATGGCTCCCTGTCCCGGCCGCAAAAATGCCAGCAACTTTAAGACTACCCTCAGACATTCTTGGGTACATCCAGGGTGTCATACGCGAATAATAGAGGACCGCGAATTATCCTGGCAAACTGTCGTACTGTACAGTATATATGCATTGACTCAAGTGTGCGATTCATAACTTGTTATTATATCTAATGGTGACAGGTGGTGTAATGGTCAGCATGTTCGCCTCGCAAGCGAGCGGACCCAGGTTTGATCCCCGGGTAGGGTGAAACTATGGGCAAGTGTCTTTATGTCACTTGCCTCTGTCTACCCAGCAGTAATTGGGGACCTGGATGTTAATCAATTTGCAGGTCGTATTCCAGGATAATGGTTATCCAGTGCTGTTGGCGAGTTGTCTGGTCTTCTCGGACTATTCCTTGAGACTGGGTCACGCCTAGGTGGCCCTTGGACCGGCCATCATGAGGGCAACCATTATTATTATTACTATTATTATTATATCTGAATATTAGTAAATAACCTTAGAATAACAGGGTACAGTAGGATTTCAAGTTTTGCAACTACAGTACAGGTATATATTTTTATTTTAAAAGGATAATTTTATAATTTTGGAGAATACAAAAATATTCGGTTCTAGCAACACATGGGGGTGGGCTGGGAAACCGGCTCCTGCAGTTTTCGGGTTAAAATGCTAACAACACCTAAATTTCAGGTTCTAGCTCATATCACTGACCATAACCAATTACTTTCAGCCATTGTCAAAACTACAAATTAATCACTATAGTATATGTTATATACATGTTGGGCTCAGAAACCGAAAGGCGACCACAATGCATTGTGGTTATTTTCAAAATAACCAGAAAGCGATATTTTGCATTTGCATTTTACCCTAACCTAACCCAATCCAAACTAACCAAACTATATCCAAACTAACCTAACCTAACCCAATCCAACCTAACCTATAGCAAAATCTCACTTCTGGTTGTTTTCCAAACAACCACAACGCGTTGTGGTCACTTTTCGGTTTATGAGCCCACCATATACATAGAGAATGATGAGACTTTGTTTATTTTATTTTCATTATACAAATTTAAGGATTTACGGCTCTGATTAAAGTGACACTAAGGTGTCTGTGTTAACCTTTTTATCACAATGAAAATCATAATAGCCACTCGCCTAAACTGAACAAACATTTCCAGTACAGTGAGTTCTGCTATAACGCGTGTTTTGACAACGCGAATTTGCTCGAACGCGATTTATGAATTGAGGAACGATATTTGTAAAACGCGAACTCGTTTGCTCTAACGCGATTCCACTCGAACGGTTGTTGTGGCTTCAGTTCACGTTCGACATCACATGTTCAATTGAGTTATGTGTTTTGTTTGTGAACAATTGCAGAAATAATGTATGTAATATTTATGTATACAGTATACCTATATATTATAAGTAAATTGTAAAATTTTACATAAAAGAGAAAATCAAATTACATAGCGTTTTACACCCGCGCTCTCTCTACATCACACACAGTGTTTACAGTTCACGTTCGACATCACATATTCAATTGATTTATGTGTTTTGTTTGTGAAGAATTGCAGAAATAATTTATGTAATATTTATGTATACAGTAAACCACTCACAAGGTCCTACAGTACCACTAATTATTTTATACTGAAACTTACGTTTGGGAAGCTGGATTAAAATGAAGATTACCGGTATATTAAAATAATAAAAATGTATTATAAACCAGTCTAACATACCGTAATAAACACAGCTGCTATTATCATCCCCCCCTCCCCCATTTGCCAGTGACAAGAAAGGGAAAGTGACCTTGACTGTGACCGCCTGTGGCTATTTTTAGCCATCCTTGTGTTCGGAGGTGGTCAGTAATGCATCTCTGTATATTTACTGATCATAATACTTATCTCTTATAAATAATTCATTTAAAATTTATTTTTTTGCAAAGAATATTCAGTAAATGACTGCATTAATTCTTGAAACTGCCGACAGTGGTAAATTTAGGATATAAATAATGAACAGAAGTCACGTCATGGATTCGGAGTTTGGTCCTTAACGATCACCATAAATGTAGCCTCCCTTTTTCGCGAAACACGTATATAAATTAAAGAAAATACTTGCAGTATATTTAATATATTACAGTATATTATATATAAATAAATAAACAAATAAATTCAAATTCCCTTATCATCCTGTGTCATATACAGAAATACTTGAGTCCCTGAGCGAGTACACAAAAAGAAAACGGACATCCTGGAGTGGATAGAGAACGGACATCTCTACTGGGGGACTCAAACGTTTCTCATGTTTTGTGGGCGCTCTAGCATAATATGAATAATATGTAAATTACAATTTATTTACATATATATATATATATATATATATATATATATATATATATATATATATATATATATATATATATATATATATATATATATATATATATATATATATATATATATATATATCTTGATAAAATCACACGGGAAAATGGAAACAACGGAGTACCTTAGCTTTCGTCTTTATTCAAGACATCTTCAGAGGCAACTGGGTTACATGGACAGAGAGAGGCTTAAATATACAGGGTGACCTAAAAATATAAGGTCAGGTCATAATGATGACATCCACTAATCCGCACACCAACACACACGTAGAGGAGCTTAAGAGAAGGGTGGTGACGTGACTAGACAGGTCAGGTCAGAAAAAAGGGACCCACAAAATAACTATCATACATCAAGATCAAAGGTTTTCAAAGCATTTTTAACCTTTCTCTTAAGCTCCTCTACGTGTGTGTTGGTGTGCGGATTAGTGGATGTCATCATTATGACCTGACCTTATATTTTTAGGTCACCCTGTATATTTAAGCCTCTCTCTGTCCATGTAACCCAGTTGCCTCTGAAGATGTCTTGAATAAAGACGAAAGCTAAGGTACTCCGTTGTTTCCATTTTCCCGTGTGATTTTATCAAGATTTATCTTATCCACGTTTTCATTGTGGATTTACATGAAATATATATATATATATATATATATATATATATATATATATATATATATATATATATATATATATATATATATATATATATATATATATATATATATATATATATATATATATATATATATATATGTAAATTGTAAAAATTTAAAGAAAAGAGAAAAACTAAATACGTAGCGTTTAAAGTGTACTGTACAGTGTTGTGGCTTGGCTCAATGTTTACAGTTCACGTTCGACATCACTTGTTCAATTGATTTATGTGTTTTGTTTGTGAAGAAATACCTGTACAGTATATGTAAATTGTAAAATTTTAAATAAGAGAGAAAAACAAAATAAGTAGCGTTTAAAGTGTACTGTACATTGTGGCTTGGTGCGGGGTTATGCAGTGTTTACAGTTCACGTTCGACATCACATGTTCAATTGATTTATGTGTTTTGTTTGTGAAGAATTGCAGAAATAATTTATGTAATATTTATGTATACAGTATACCTGTACAGTATATGTAAAATGTAAAATTTTAAATAAGAGAAAAACAAAATACATAGCGTTTTAGACCCGCGCGCTCTGTTTACTCCACACTTTGTTTGAAACACGTGTGAAGTTTTTAAGTGTCCTCAGTGAATTCTGATTACTGTTTCTCCAATTTTGTGACTATGGAAAAGAAGAATATCTCTGGGAAGCACTCTGGTGATCGCATTTCCGGTGGTGATCGTAAAAGAAAGGCTATAACACTTGAAGAAAAGCTTGATGTTTCATGACTCCTCAGCCTCAACATCACCCTTATCCCCCATCAAGTTATATTCATATTTTTTCAAGGTAAAGTGTAACATTTACTGTATGATTTCATTATTAGATATGAATGTAACATTTATTTAGACTGTGCTATCCTTTGTGTTAGGCTAACTACGAAATTTTTTTTCGATTTGGAGTAATCTGCACCTAACCCTATTTTCTCCATAAGCCCTGTTATTTCTATTACACGAATTTCTATAACACGATGTTTTACAAGAACACTACTATCGCGTTATAGCAGAACTACCTGTATGTACACAATATTTC